TTTTTTTTTTTGCTATTTTAAATTATGATCATTTCTATGTTTTTCGTTTTTTTCATTATTGGTTATCAAAGTGTTTTATTGTAATCTATTATGCAAGGTGATAACGTGTAAAGTTTTTCAAGAAATTGTTTTTTCCACGAAAGTATCGTATTGATATCGCTTTTTACATTATATATCGTTTTCTTTCTTCTGATTATATTATAATTGATAAGAGATGAAATATTTTTGCCAAGTAATGTGTCGAAATTGAAAAGACAGGATGGAATAAATGTATTAACTTTTTATCATTTGGATAGCCACCAGTGAACCCGGTTTTAAATTTATTTGAAAAATTCTTTTTTTCACTCTGCAGAATGGAAGAGTTATAGTCGAGGAGAATATTTTATATAAAAATATACATTGGAGGAAAAAAAGAATTTACATTGCTAAATAATACATGGGACATAAATTCTTTCTTCTTATCCTTTTATGTAGAGTATTCTCTAACAATACAGACCATAATTCTTTAACTACGTAGAAGAAAAGAAAAAAAAAAATCTTTCAAATGAATATTATTATTATTAAATTCATTTGATAAACCTCACATCTAATTTATTACAACTATCCTCGAATACAATTATTTTTATTAATCTTCTATTCTTCTACGATTCTTGTTTAAATAAAAATTTCTGATAAAAACAATTTTCTATCTCTCCTTAATTTTTATAATCTGTTATTTCAAATAATACTTCGATAAAAATCTTAATTATTTAAAAAAAAAAGAATATACACATATTTTCTTTTTTCCATACGTTGAAAGACGTTTGGCTATTCCACGAAGAAAAGAATTCTGTTTGGAAGGGGCAAGGGTCATCTTCCAATAGCCATTCTTATCTCGTTCCCTTTCTTCAAGAAAATCAAAAGATTTTCCTTTCTTTAACTCTTACCCTCTTCTCTTCGACAATGGATCTCATCAATATGAATCAAATTGCGATGATATCTGGTGGATTTCTTGCCACATCAAGAGACAAATAAATGCCTCGTCGACTTCTCGCTTCGACGGCGAAATTCGTTCTACTCGTGTCATTTATCGCGTCGATTATTCGTGGATCGTTGAAATTAAACGATTTGCGTGTTTCGTGCGAGGTCGAATTCAATTCGTATGAATGATTATTTGGCAAATGGATGGCGAAATAATTTATTTCATTCTATATTTGTATATATATAATATTTTATTTATTTATTTATTTATTTTTTTTGAATTTGTCGAGTATTGGAAATTAGGAATTACGAACGAAAGAAACGAATCAAATTTTTTTTTTCAATGTGCACAGTGTTCATAATGTCATCACTCTTTCAGTTACTTTTATTGAATAATTGATTTTAACAAAATGATCGATTATAACGTTCGGAATCAAGTAAGATTTACATGTAATTTATATATACATATACTTATTTCTTTAATATATTTATCATCAAATCCTTTTAAAGAAAAGAAAAATAATTATTATTTTCAATGATGAAATGAATAAAAAAAAATTGATATTAGAATTTAATAAAATCTCACCAATCTTTCATTTCGATGCGTATTTTTTTTCTCAAATTGTTCGATCGAAGAAAATCGATGGATCTATCGCCACTGTGCAATTATTTTTTTTTAAATAACCAATTTTTTTTATTTTCAAAATTAAAAATTTTTTTCAACGCGCCTTAACCTCTTTGTGTTTCTTTCTTTCGATCTTTTTTGTCTAGGAACTCGTGGATTACCGGCGTCGCATACTTTTACGTGTCACAAAGGCCGTCACAGGCACACGCCTCGATTAACCAGAATCCGACGACCTTTGCGCCAGTTGGAACCGAAGAGAGCTTCCAATTCCTGGCAAATCTGAACGTTTTCGTCCGATTGCAAAGCTTTACACCGTTCGCTTTGGATCAACATTTTCGACGCTTGAATCGATGTGTTTGAACTGGTGGTTGATTGGTTTTAAAGCAGCTTTATTCCCCTTCCCCTCTTCAACATTTATTTTACCTCCGTTTGTTTATAATTTACAGGTAGATTAGGTTTTTGGAAGAGTTGAGTTGAAAGTAACGTTGAAATTGAGAGATAAGATGAATATGATGAAGAAGCTGAATCGAAAATTCAGGGGTTTTAAGAAGCGTGATAACGTAATTGTTGGGTATGAGATGGAAAGTATTATTATGAATCAAAAATTTTTATCTTTATTCTATTCTAATTTAACGTAATGTTTGAAGGTAAAAATAGCTTATAGTAATTCATTCTCTATTTATCAGAAACTGGTTATTAGTTGAAAATTAAAGCTACAAATATGAAAAATAATTTTTTAAATCAATGGACTTTGTGAGATTCAAATTTGTTGGATTCTTGGAACACATTTAGTGATTTCTTTTAGCTGATGGTATATATTTAAAAAAAATAGGATTAATTAAGGATTTTGTCAATGAAAAGTAGCTTATGTTTAAAATTTTTTTTTAAAAAAGAAATAACGATTTTAAATATAAATCGTATTTATGATGTTGTTTCATAACCATGCTGAAAATGGGCACCATTTCCAATATTGCTTTTAGCATTTATAGAAATGAAATTTATTAATTTAGAGAATTGGAATTCTGGAATTGGCTTTAACATATGGTGATCATTTAAAACTTGATATATTGCAATCTGAATTTATGAACTTTTTTGTAATTTTCCACATAAATTTCGGAAATAAAATCAACCAATTTTTAGCTATTTTGCTAAAATAAAATCCTCAAATGGTAATTTTTTACTTCTATTCTTATTTCATATTTCAAAATTAAAAACATAAACATTTCAAAGATTTTTAACTTTATTTCAAGATTAAATATTAATATCATATATTTATCTAAAATATCTTTTTATATCATTCATTCTTTATTTTTTTTTTTTCTAAATAAATTATACACCCAATATAAAGTCTATTATTATATATTATTTATATATATTTATATTAATTATTTATTCTAACTACTTGTAAAAATTGTTTTTAATATTACATTTATATATATGTAATCATATATGATATATATATATGATAAAAATTACACCATTTCTCATTTGAATGATTAAATCTTTTTACTTTTCTTATGATTCATTTAAGAGAAATTTAAAGAGCAAAGGGAATCGAGAAAAATAATTTTTCAGGGTAAATTCTTTCTTTCTTTTTTCAACGATAATCTATTAATTTCTCTATAATGAATCAGTTTCAGAAGCTTATAATTATCGTTTTACGATCATGGTTCCTTTATGGATCATTAAATATTTTATTATATGAATTCAACTGCTTGTAATCCTTTCTTAAATCAGTCATTAATAATGTTTGTACTACAACGACGAGCACAAATATCTATCTTGCTTTATTAGCTTTTCTGATTATTGGAATCAATGATTGTAAATTTAACTTATAGAAAATGGAATTATATGCTGTAATTCCATGTTTATTTTAAATTATTATTTCAACATATTAATTATAATTCAAAGCCAATGTGATAATATGCGATACAAAAATATAAAGAAACTATTATTTATTTAACATTAGAATTATCAAACTCAATCAAGTTGATTGGTTTCAAACATTGTTTTTGTTTTTGTTATTACTAAATAATGTGCATAAGTTTTTGACAAAATTACTACTAATATTTATTCAAGTAGAAACAATTAATGATAAATGTATCAATTTTATAATATTTTTAATTACTTGTGTTTAATAAACATGAAATGTATTATTATGCACATTATAAATACCAACTTATAAATATGTATTTCTCAAAATAATTTATACGTCATTTATGTTATTTTGATTCCCAGAATATCATTTATATTAATCGAGTTCTTTATATACATATAAAGGATATATATTTATATTTATATTTTTGTCATTTCAGATGACATTTTCGATGAGACTGGAGAACAAGTGAAACCGATTTCCGGTTTACAACTCAAATGCCTTGGAGGTGGAAGAATAGAACATGATCCCGATAAAAAAACCATTAAAGTCTTTGGATATTCTCAGGTGAATTTTAAGGATTAACGAATCTCAATGAAATATTCCTATTTAAATATTTGATTGATTGATCAATCCTTTTGAAACTATAGAGATATATACAGAATGAATCTTTGAATAATTCATAGATACATTTGTTTTATGAAAAAAATGTTTCACATAGTTTTATGTTGCAAAAGGAAATATAATTTTATATTATTAATTTTTTTGCAAGAGGATATTTAAGAAGACATATAAAGATATTAAATTTATTCTTTTTAATAAAATGTGAAACTAAAAAGAAATTATTAAGTCTCTTGAGGTAAAAAGTTATTGATTTTTTGACTTTATAATTAATTAATTAATTTTATAATATTTTTATAGTCAACTTTGTAATTAATAAGAAGATATAGACAGATCTGAAACTTCCACAGGAATTGTTGATTGTTGAAGTTGTTTATTGAAACGTAAAATCCATTCAAAATGAAATTGAATTTAATTGAACGTGCCATTTTGAAAATCAAGTTCGACATATTATGTTCAATTTGCTTTAAAGAAAACGTTTCAAAAAATTAACAAATTATTAAAGAACGATTTTCTCTCCATATATATTTATATTCATCGGGACATCATGCTATTAACTTAATGCATGCTATGATTTCACTTTTAACACGATTTATATTGGCATGCATACGTAATATCTGTCGTCTACTTTTCTCTCGTTTGTTTAATTTCAATTAATTACAATTTCGAAAAGCAATGTCGTTGATTTATGATGGATGGAATTTTATCATTACACAAAGACTTTGATAATTAATTTTTAATTATACATCGAAATTTTCTATGGAGTTTCATTGTTAACATAATGAACGATTATTTTATTTTATCAATGTTTCGATAAGATTTTGATAAATCGAAAGAAATCCCATTCAAGTCAATCTTGAGTGAATGATTGAGATAAAATGAAAATAAAAATCGTGAGATAAAATCGGATTGAAATCGTGTTTGTGGGGCAAACTTGGCCTATCAATGATCGTCTATAAAACGAGGGTTCTCGATTTTAGGCGATTGTAATTATTCTACTTTCGAGACTGGAAGTAGAGACGCGATAAGATCAACGAAATTCTCATAAAATCTTATCGTATCGATACCAGTTAGAGATTACCACGATATTCCATGGATCGAACGAGATTTATTAGTAGAGGTTGTAAAAAAATGCTCTTTCTTCTGAATCTAAATGGATCTTGAGGGAAAGTAATTTTATGTTAATAATTCAAACTTTATTTACATTATTTTATTCTTTGATTTCAGAAAATTTTTTTAAAGAGAAAGTGACAAATTTTTAATTTCATGCTAAGTAAAAAAATATCATGGTGTCTGGATATTAACATAAAAGTTAAGGATGTTTGAAATATATTGGTATCTGTATTTTTTTTCTTTTATTGGAATTCATGAACCAGAATCAACAATTTGCAAGTTAATCTTTCTGTATATGTCTTGTGGACTTTATAAATTGAAAAGATATTTCTATAATAATAAGAGAAACGATTCGTTATAATTTAATTGATATTATTTGGTTTATTTTCAGGGTTTTGGGAAAGCAGATCACGAGGTATCCGTTAATATACTAAAAAAATATTATCCTGATTATTCGATTACATGGTCAGACGATGGATACTAATTGATAAGATGAAGAACGTTTCTTCATATTCAGCACAAGATGGGATATATTTGAATACATTAAATATGTGGTTTAATAAAGAGTTTCTTATATTGTTAAGTTGTGTATTTTTAAATATAAAAATTAGAAATCTGATCTAATACTATTTAAAATCATTTTGATTACATGTGACATAATATATGATTTATTCGTTTGAATATTGATAATATTAATTGTGTAAATATATAACAAGTTCTAACTAATTTAATTTATGTATTTAATTTTGTGTATTTAATTAAATCGATATAAGCATGGAAACTGTGTTTTGTTTTCAAATTTAAATGATTTATAATAAATACACTATAATATACAAAATGTAAAAGTACAAAAGTATATCTCTACACATGTAAAAAGATATATATATATAAAATATGTATAACATACAATAATACGAATTATTATCGAGACAAGATATAATATAATATGAAATAGATTCAATGTATTTTTCCATATTTTTGGATCTTTAATCATTTTAGTTTCATTTTCAATTAAATTTACTAATTCAGTCCAAAATAAGATTGCAATATTAAAAATGATTAGAATTGAAACTAAATTTCAATATATAAAATTACAAATGGAAATAAAAAGAGAAAAAATAAAACAAATATTATGTTACAGATTATTTTTTATATACTATGATATACTGAATTTTATACATCATTATATTTTTATATGACAAGACAAGGAGAGCAAATATTAAAAAAGGATAGAGATTGGGATTAAAATTTGAGAATCAGCGCCATCTCTTGAGTGGCGCAAATGAAACTAAAAAGATAAAGAGAGCAAATAATAAGACAAGGATAGAGATTTTAAAATAAGAATTGATCTTTGGCGCCATCTCTTGAGTATTTTTAAAAAGATATTTATATTCAAAAGATGATAATGGTTTGGATAATTTTTATATTAAATTAATTATAATAATCTATTCTTATTTCATATTTTTAATCGGAATATTTTTATGACTTTGATTAATAAAAATTTACAAATAAACAATTGAAATATAATATATTATGCTTCAATTTTCGCGCGATTGAAATGAATAGAGAACCATATTGCTGTAGCCAATCAGAAAGTCGCTAAGATGTAGTAGCGAAACGAATCAGCGCGCATCATAGTGCGCATGAGTCTACAGTTGAAAAGCGTGGTGACAGGTCGTGTTTCGCCGGCAGAGGTACGTAATTGCGTTCAATTTTTATTAATACACTATTATATTGCGATTATTACGTTTAATTATATATTATTAAGCTATATCTAATCAATATGTGTTCGTTTAATCATTATTATACCAGAATTGAATATCTTTGTGCAGATTATCGTTTGATTGAAGCTTCGATGGCGGGATGGCTTTGAAAGTTTTTGCACACATCATCAAAATTAAGAAATAATCCAACAATTTTCATACAAATATAGTAAGATTTTATTTATTTTATTAGCTATCATATAGTTATCATAAATTTCTTTAGTCTTTTTATTCACAAAGGTGGAAATAGGTAGTTCGTATAATCTATTCACACATACATATTCCATACACATATATATCTCCTATATATTTATTTCCTAAATACGTCTATTCGTCGTACGTTCAACTCGTGTGTTATTTCTGTATTTGTTTTGATTTTACGGTTAGTGCCTCAAGGCTGAAAACATTTCTTATTCAGCCTTTCCAGGAAATTGACGGTCACGGTCATTAATGCCACGCTCGACACGTTTCGACTTGTGTATATCGAATTGTGTATATCCCCTCTCTATTTGTAACTCGATACGTCGGTGTCATTTTATTGTCGAAATTCGTAACGATTAGACGCTTTGTATGTACTGCGTAATATAACTTCTATAATACTTATTTAGTAGTTAGTCTTATTTTTTATGCTATTATTATTTTATTATTATGTATTTGTTTAATTATTTATTAAATATTATTATAATTGTTTAAGAAATATTTTTTTCGTATATTTAATCATTAGTTACTTTATGATGTATAATATCAATTATTTAGTATTATGAGCTTTAAAAATAAGATTTCAGCTATTAGATTATTATTTTATTTTACGATATTATACATTTATTTTAAAGATTTGATTTTTTTGTGCAGATAAATAGCTGATTGCTGTAATTAGTTTAGGCGGGAAAAAGGATTTCAATATGGACGCCATGATGATAGTTTACGAAAGAAAAATAAATTCTCTCAAAGAAAGGCATATGTAAGTAGTTTTATGATTTCTTTTTATTAAATTATAAGTTATATAATTTTCATTTATAATTTGCTATGTATTACTTGTAAATTATCTTAAAAATTTTTTGAATATTTTTAACACGATGTGAATAAAATATTATTAATTCTAATAATAAAAATTTATAATATAATTTCATTAAAAATAACAAATATTCGATAGGAAAATAAAATAAAATATGAAAATATATTTCGTAGTGATAGGTAATATTTTCGTTTTAGTTTCTAAAATTAGGAAGTTTTTATTTTTTACAAATTTTTATTTTTTAATTTTATACGAGTATTTAGATCATACCTTGTTAGATGGCGTAAGATGTTTTTTAAGGTTGAGAACAAGTGACACAAAATTCCATTAGATGTCAGGACTATTCTATTTTTCGTCTCGATTCTTTTTCCATTTGTGGTAATAATAGAAATAGTAATTATCGCTTTTTTTAATGAAACAAATAATCAGATTCAGATTCGCGATTCGAATTATATTATCCGTTGAATAATTGCAATGTAGATAATAATTATTAATAATTATTAAAATTAGATCTTATAAAAAGTTATTAAAAACGTCTTTATATTTGACTTTTTCTTTTTGTATATATATATATATATACATATACAAAAACACACAGATACACACACACACACACACACACGAATAAGTTAAATATAAAGACATTTTTAATAACTTTTATATATATATAATGAATTCACTTGGAATTTTTAACTAAGTGAATTCATTAATCTTTATATTTTGAATGTCGAGAAATAATTAAAAAGCAGTATTGGTATTATAACATCATTTTTATTAGATTTAAATTGAAATTGGTTATAAATTATGGTGATGAATACTAGGACTAGGACAAATGGTTCTCGCTGCTCTGCTCTGTATACTCAATTTTTATATTGCGTATAGATGGTGAAGGATAAACATGATCATCTGTAATTCTTTCCTGTTTTTTTTTTCTTTCAAGATACGCACATGCATATTACGCGTGTTATCTTACCGTTTTCTTCATTCACATCTTTTTTTTTATTTTGTTAAATGCATGTGCGTCTCATTTTCATTTTCCCATTTTTTTTTTCTGTGTATTTCGTAACACAATTGTAATAATGCCTGCTTGATAGATACACCAAATTCTAGTATATTCATATACATAAGAAATGCAGTACGAGAGATATTTTTCATTTATGATTCGAAAAACATAATATTAGAAATCCTTACGCATATTTACGTAGATTTACATAGATTTTATATAAAAATCAGCATTATTTAATAAGGATGTCCCGTAAAAAATAAAATAAATAAAAAAATCGAAAAGTTATATTCAAATTATCGCGGCAAATTGATATTGCTGCTCGTACATATGCGCACATGCACTGCGCAAGTACGTGTCACGTGATCAATCGTTTAGTTGTGTAAAACGAAATGCACAAAATCTTCATTCACTGCATTTCTTATACTTTTGAATCACTCGAGTTTGACGTATCATTTAAATCGGTAATGCTACGGACAAGAAACAAATAAATTCTGTGGACAGTGCTCCCCAATGGTACCTTCAATCTCATAATATATTTACGAATCGAAAGACGCAATCGAAAAAGGATTTATCCCTTCTCTAATTGTAAGTTGCCAGCAACTCTTTAATACCAGCGCTAGAGCTCTGCCCACGGTACAACATCCGTGATAGTTCTAAAAAGTAGCCCATTTCGAGCAATTTCAAAGACTCAACCGGTTTCTTGTAAACGCTCGAAACGTTTTAGTAGTCAGTTTAAAGAAATAAAAATCCTTTTAATCCTGACTGAAAACACAAAATTGTTTCGGGCGAGACACGGTCAATAAAGAAACGCGACGTTATCGTTGATAATTCGTCTGTCTCGCGATGCGGCTCGAGAAATAATACAATGATCTCACTTTAATTTAATTATTCTTTATTATATATATTCGCTTCAAAGAATAAAGTGATGGGTAATTGGGTGGTAGTAACTTTATTTAAATAAGTGAATAATTTAAAAAAAAAAAAGAAAAAAAGAAATTATTGCTAGAAATTCGCAAGTGTAATATTTTAATTCGGAATAAAAGTAAATGCATCGCGAAGCAGAAGAATAACAATAAAATACAATAAAATCCGTAAACGCGCATAAACGCTTCGTAAAAAAAAATCAACGAAGAGTCTCTCTACCCCGAATCGCTATCGTTTACTGACTCTGCGTCGCCGACATGGCAGTGATTACAGCGATAGATCGAAAGTCGATTATTTTGCGACTATACGAGCTCAAGCTTAGCGCGTATCTCGCGGACGTTGTTTCACGCCACGAGAGACATTCCAACTAGTAATTGAGACTAATGAACCGTTCTCCTCGACACTCAACGTCGACTGATTAAACGCGAACTCGATTCTCGAATGAAGAGAATCGAACCGCTTTAACAGTCACGTTCCGCCACAAAGATCGTTTCCGATTTATTCGTTCCAATTCCAGCGCGATAGAGATAGTAGCATTCAATTGGTCGAATCGAAACGAACGATACATCGAAATCGAATTGCGTGGCCTACGCTCGAATTGGAACGCGGTTTCACTTACACGTGTGCTATCTATTTTACTCAAAGCGAATTTATCGAAGAAACATTTGCGCCACCCGGTTCACGTGTCGTTTTTCATTTTACACGATTCCCCTTTTAAGCTTAACTGGTACGCTTAACTCGAAATTTCCCTCCCGAATCGTGGTCACAGATTGTGAATCGAGATTTGACAGGCACCCGGTACGCGTTTCCTCGCATAGCTGGACAGTGTGCACAGAAAATGAAACGAACACGACGTGAACAAAGAGCACAAGAACGAAGACTTGAAACACGTCATATTTCGATCGAAATATAATTCGCATATAATCGCGGCTCGCGTGTATACATATAAAGAAATCATTGCATCATTGCAAAAGTCGCCATTGCGCCTAGTCGCATTTATCTTTATCGACTGAAGTTGGCTGCTCTCGCCAAGATCGATTCCTCGCCGGATTTCGATTTGTTAGACGTATATCGATATCGTACACGCATTTCGAACACGATTCACTTCGCATCGATTTTTCTTATTGCAAAGTTAAAACGCTTATATATATTTTAATCGTTTATTCATTCTTTGTCTCGAACGAATCAATCGAGTGCGTTGCAAATGGCGCCCAACAAACGTGGAATTACATTTTCATCGCAATAACGGCTTTTGCAATTTTACAATTTTTCTTTTCTCAGAAGATAATAATACCGCATCCCCGTATCGGTGTACATCCGATATACATGTGTATCGTGTATTTATACATATACATATACATATACATATATATATATATATCTATATATATATGTATATATGTGTGTGTATCACATTGCTATTCAACAATTTGCACAGCACAGCCAGCGACGCCATCTATTTATATACATTCTTGTCCATATTTTGATCCGGCACCACATTGTCGATAATTAATTTTTTTTTTTTTCTTTTCTTTTTTCTAACACCACTTTTTAACA